TCTGTCCCATCCAGATGGTACAAGACCAAATTAGAGAACTACACAAGCTACAGAAATATACCAATATTTTCTTGGTTTCTAATTGGTGTTGTAGACCTACATCTCTGCTATAATTCAGTAAATACTGAATTACATATAATCTCAGATAAGAAAAAGGCAAATGAAGTCACTAGATCTATAATCACAGCATTTTATAGAAGTTCCTCCCCTCAAAAATTACTTTCTGATTTATGATTATCTTGCTTCGTATCACCAACCTATTATGATGTCTTGCAATTTAACCAGGCAGTGCATTAAATATTGCCATCTTTGAACACCACATGACTTTGATAAGCCTCTCTGCTATTTAAGGTACTGAATATTAAAAATCAGAACAAACAGAAGAACTATTATCAAAGAAAAACAGTACTCTCGCATTCATGTGTTCAAATAACGACAGTTCAAAGTAATATAGAAAATGTAACAGTGAATTCTACCATGCACACACATACATACACACACACACACACACACACACACACACACACACACAGATGCTAGAGGCTACATGATATCACATCTGTACCATTCGAAAGAGAGTCCTGAGAAAGCACTGGAGGCATCTTACATAAATCCACTCGGGTCAGTTTAGGACAAGCCAGAGAGCAGAAACTAGAGGGATCCTTTCACCATTTGACCAGCTATTCTTTATGAAGATTTGAGATTTTCCTAGTAAGGCAGAGCTTGTTTCTACTATTTAAGAAATAGTGAATGCATTCAGGACAATTCTTCCAATATTTAGAGAGCAAAGACAGTCAGCTATACTTACTTGTTGAAGCAAAGTTATCATGAACTAAACTACAACAGCAAATTTTTAATGATTACCTCCGCTTACTACATATAGTACTACAGAGAATTTACTGCTCTTTCAAAATCCAATGTCCATAAAGACAGAACGCCTTGAAGGAAAATGGTACCATACTTAAGATAGTGATATCTTTTATTAGTACAGTAAAGTCCTATTTTTATGGAATAGGATGGGTCTGAGGTCATTCCATAAAATTGATTTCCCGGAAAATGGAAATAGGCAATTTACCCTAAGAATTTTATTGAAAAATTATGCTATTCTATTTGAATAATGATGGGAATGTTCTACATGTTTCCTTTATTAATGAATTAAAATACACAAAACACCATAAAATTATATTAGAGGTTCAAAAGTATCACTTAAATCTTTTTTATCAGTCACTTTCATTTTGTAAAATCAGCAGTTCCATTAAAATCGTATTATGTAAAAATGGGTTTTTACTGTAATAATAGTTATTACCTATTTAGCTCCCAAGGATGTTGTGAAAATTAAATAATAAGCCATTGGAAAGCAAATACAAAGTGTTGCTAATACCAGAGGCCAAGAGGGGCAGCCAGATGGAAAAATGAAGGAAAAGAACACCTGATACATTACAAATCACAGCTTTCATCTGTAATTCCATTACCGCCAATACTCTATGCTGTGGTCATGTGCACTGATGTTATCTCATTTCATCTTTCTTAACATTATGATATATTAATTATAGCCCTAATGTTATAAATAAGGGTCAGAAAGGTTTACAGCTTGTCCAAAGTCACACTGTTGTAAATGTCAGAAGCCAAATGTGAACCCCAGGTTTATCTTAGTCGACAGCTCATCTTATATCCTGAAGGATCCCCAGTATGCCCTTGTGTCTCATAATGGCCCCTCTAATTCTTACGCCATCTTTCAAAATTCGCTTCAAATGCCTCTCCTTCCATGAAGCCACCTCTACCCCAGAGACACTATAAGTCTAAACACATTCAGTATTTATTATAGCTATTTGTTGTATTATTGTGCATTATGTGTTTTATGAACCCAGCTAAATTCCTCACTGTTTGAGGTCACAGTTGTACGGTACTTGCGTTCCCAGATCATGAGCACCTGGGACTGTTCCTTGAACACAGTGAATGTTTGGTAAATATTTGCTAAACTGAACTGGAAAGGGGTGTTCATTTGAATTACAACTACATTTGCTACCAGATGCAAAGCAAATGCTTTTACTAATGGTTCATTGCATTAGAATGGTTCTAATGCAATGGTTCATTGAATTGCATACCTCTTTGGGAAGTATCTCCAGTTTTTTCAAGCATGTGTGATAAGATTAAATACCTCAAGTAGCATATGTGACATACAGTAGATGCTCAACAAATAGTAGTTTTTGATTTTATTTTTGTTTTATTTCAAGTTAAGGGAACAATGTGGACAGTAAACAGAGAAGCGTAAATTCAGTATAATATGTAACCTAATTTGGATATATCAGAGCAGTTATGGACAGCAAGTTTTTTGAAAAAAGAAAGATAAAATGAAGAGTTGGAACTCTTGATTTAAAGTCTGATTTCCTGCCCAGCTTCTTTACTTGCTAGCTGGATAAAACTTAAGCAAGTTACCCTCTCTGCATCTCAGATTTTTTATCTGTAAAAACAGAAATAATAACAGAATCTACTTATAAAGCAGCTGGGAGAATTATATGAAAAAAATCCTTGTAAAATACTTACTACAGTGCATGTCACACACCAAACACTCAAGTTATATTTGCTACTATCATCATCATTACTATCATCATAAAAATCATTTCACAATTCTTAGGAATCTGTTCAAAGAAGAAGACACTATTTTCCACAGACTGTAAAATCTTACAGTGGTAGGTCTCAACCCTGTCAAACCCAAAGATTTATTTCTGCTATTGAATTATGAATGGGAGCAATGAGTTCACATACTTCATTGAAACAATGCTTACTGAATGTCTACTTTGTGTCAGAGTCAGGTGGACAAATTTACTTGATTTAAAGAAAGCTAGGAAGGAAAGAAACAAGGGGAGCCAGAAAAGGTAAAGAGTTCAGAAACAGGCAAAACCACACACAAAAAGCAAAGGTAGATTCAATTCAGAGACCCATCAGAGGTCAAAATATCAGCAAAGGCCTGTCACAAATCAGAAGGGAATAGCAAGGCAGAACAGCTTCTGCATAAGACCTGAAACTGAATAGCACAATGGATTCAATTGCTGATCAATCACAGGTCATTTGTTGGAGACAGAAGATGGGTTATTAGAGAATAGGAGAGGGGCAAGAGCTAAGGATTTTATTTTTTATATATTACACATCTGTTTTTCACTCACCTGTCTTTTCACATGAAAGCTGGAAATAATGAACAATAACTATGTTTTTAAAATCTTAACTTTTCTGATTCTCTCAGTAACACTGAAAGGCCAACTGGAAAGTCCTTTTTATATCCAACGTCTGTACCCCACCTCCTTTCCCCCACCCAGCATTGATTTGTGCTGTTTAAGAGCAGTCTCACAGAGAAGTCAGGCCCATTCTATAATCTTATGAGCTGACCACAGACAAAGGAATGAAGGATAGTGGAGAAAGCCAGGGCTCCCGGCACCCAGGGCACACAGTGGACACAGTCAACTGCAGTGCCAAGCAAGATGGCCAAGATCACTCCTTGCTTGGCATAAAAACCCCAAAGGATACCAAAAGCTTGGCAGTCTTCAAAAGCGTCTTTTGCTTCCTGCATGGGGTGGGGGAAACAGCTTGCTTAGTGGGAAAAACCATAGCCCAGGGCAAATCCGTTGGCTAGATTCATCAAAGAGATGGCTGAGACAGAACAGATCTTTCCTTTCCATATAGGAATGACTCACGAGCTTGTTTATTCAAAAAGTTACATCCTCCATTGAAGAGAGGTGGCTGATGGGAAAGCAGGATGATAATAATAATTGACATTTGTACTGGTCAGCCCACTCACACCTGTCCCTCATGTCTCTGGGCACAGTCACACAAACACACCACCAATGATAATGTGGCCAGTGTATTTTGTTTCATTCTTCCTTCCTTCTGCCACACAAATAAAGCAAACAACACAGTGACCCTTTTTTATTTTACTCTTAAGTCATTTTAGAAAGGGAATGTGCTTTATTGGTTCAAATGAGGACTGGGAATAAGACTGCATGGGTTCAAATTTTTACTCTGTCAAATTGCAAACTGTGGGACCCTGAACAAGTGACTTAATTGCCCTGGGCCTCTGCTTCTCTATCTGTAAAAATGGGGATAATAATATTACTTATTTCATAAAGTTATTATAAGGATTAAATTAGTTAGTACATGGGGAACAGTTCCTGGCACATTGTTAGTTCTCAGTAAATGTTTGACATTATCATTATTATTACTTCACAGATGGTTAAATGTTCTTCCATTACGGATCTTCTCTCATTCACTATTATCTTAAGAGGTTCAAATTAAACCATAAATGTAATTAGGTCTTTGGGGGAAAATATAATTATCCTATGAAAAACATTTTCTTTTCAGTCTAGGGAGATATTCTGGAACTTTTGAAAACTCTCTTTTAAATAAGAAGAATTTTGTAAGTATGGCTGTGTGTTTCTATATGTCTAAGGAATCATCTTTTTAAAAATATATGTGTGTACTGGAAAATAGGTCTAGACAGAGAGATGAATGGATACACAGATTGATATTTTTCTCTTGTATTAACCTACTTCTTTGCAATTTTGGAAACTCATAGCAACTGAAGAACTTGTCATTTTTCCTCAGTCCTGTATGTCGAAATTCACAAAGGCAAACAATCAGAAGGCATTAACAAACTGTTCTCTTCCATACCCTCTGTGTCTTTCAAACTTAAGGATACTAGAACCTGTAAATCCATTCTCTGACGTGTGAATAAAATTAACCAGTTAGTGGATTTTGTACCTCCTTTCAGCAGGGCAATTACTATTCTACTTTTAATGAAGACATGCTATTTTAATTTTGGGGGATTTCACTGGTCCATGAAATTCCTCTCCTACATTAACCCCCCCAAAAAGAGGAAGAATGAAACAAGTGCCTACTTATTTCCATACTCTTTGCTGTGTTGTACAATAGAAATGAAACATAATTAGATCTGACCGTAATCAGGGTTCAGCCTGTCAGTGATTCACCTCCTGGGTTGTTTTACTCACTGGGTAAAATGAGAACGTCATCTCCAGGGCCTGGAATGGTATTGTTGTGTCCTCCCCAGCCTTCTTCAACACCTTGCCATGTTTCGGGGAGGGACCATTTTAAAGCTGAGTCAGGTGCAGAAGTAGAAGCTAGAAAATAAAATGGCAAAAATAATTTTGAAAATCTAATTTATTGTGATAACTTCCAAATTTTATTCTTTTTTTTTCTTTCTTTCTGAGACGCAGTTTCGCTCTTGTTACCCAGGCTGGAGTGCAATGGTGCAATCTCAGCTCACCGCAACCTCCGCCTCCTGGGTTCAGGCAATTCTCCTGCCTCAGCCTCCTGAGTAGCTGGGATTACAGGCACACGCTACCATGCCCAGCTAATTTTTTTTTGTATTTTTAGTAGAGACGGGGTTTCACCATGTTGACCGGGATGGTCTCAACCAAATTTTATTCTTATTTTAGGATGCTAGTGGTATTTTCACCCCCAAAGAAGCTGCCTTTTAATATTTTGTAAGTTTCTGTACAAATATTTGTCAGCTAAAAAGCAAGTAATTATTCAATCCTTAGATTCCTCACTTCTGAAAAGAGTCCCACTTTTGTTATCATATATTTGTGTTTTGCCTTATAATAAATATGACATGCTTACCACGAAATATTTACAAAATGCAACTAAAGTTAATAATTGCCTACAATCTCACTACCTTGCAATAACTACCTTATATGTCTGTTTCCTTCCAGAATTTCTCAGAGTTTTTACGTAATTGAGATTATATAAAATCCTGTTCTTATTTTTTACATCCAGCTTTAATTTTTCTTAGCTTAGACTATTTTCCTATGCATTTTATAATATTATTAAAGTGCCTTGTAAATATAATTTTAGTGGCTACATATCACAATATTAAAAACCCCATAATTTACTTAATTCCTAATGTATGACATTTAAGCTCTTTCCACTTTCTGTTTAATTGTAAATAATGTAGTGTTAACTGTCTCTATGCAAATTTCTCAATAATCCTGATTATCTTCTTCAAATACATTCCTCAATGGAATGACTGAATCAAAGGTTATGTTCTTCCCACAGCTCTCCCTACATATTAAAGGCTGGGTAATAATCTCAAAACTCAGGGCAGCAACTTACACACAGATCATACATTCCAACCAGTTTTTATTGATTCTGCCTTTGATGATCAAATAGCATTTTCTTTTCAACCACCACATACTTGAAATGTAAATCTAATAATTTCCACTGGGGACTGTCCAATATTATATCATGCACAACACCATGCTGAATTGTATCTACCTGTTCTTTCCTGGGATATGATTACCGGCACGGAGACAGAGGGTAGAGATTGTCTCAAAAGGGTAGAATGAAAAGGCCTCCCTCCTCTTTTGAGGGGAGGGAGGGGATCACATCCATGACTTGCTAATTTCACAACATAAATAGTGAGCGCCTTCTCTATTAGAACTGCCCTTAAAAAGCAGGGATACAAAAAGGAATAAAATGCCACCCTTGCCTCTAAGGAGCTGATAGTGTTATGTCAGTACTAGGATAGAAACTCTACACGAGCACTGAGGGGGGTTCTTTTTAGGGTACCTGATCAAGAAAGAAAGTAAGACACTGCCAGGAGAAGCTTCCTGAGAGAGATAGTATCTCAGCTGCATTTTAAAGGCTTAGAAGTTACTCGGGTAAAGGGGTGGTTGTGATGAGTGTATGGCAAGAGAGTTGCACTGCAGACAGAAGGAGGAGCATGAGCCGATGCAAAAAATGGGAAGTCAAGTGGAAGAATGATAAGAAATTTGGTGTTGCTGAACCACATAGCTAGAAGAGAGGTCAATGTTAAGGTTGGTAAAATAACCAGAGGCCAGAGTATGAAGATAACAAAGATGGAGTGGCTAGAGGCTTCCAGCCCATTAAGATAGAAGTGGATGAATGCAGTCTGGGACATAGGAAATTTGGAGTACCTTTCTGGTCTCCAGACGAAGCTATACAGCAAGCGGTGGATGAACATGAATTAGATGGATGGAAAGAGCTCTGAGCCCGAAGATGAATTTGGCACGATCGGCCTAGAAGCCATATTTGAAACTCTGATGGTGGCTGTAAGAGCTCCAGAGGATTTTAAGGTGAAAAGAGAAAGGGCCTGATGTCAGAAATATGAGGAACACTTTGTTATTTTTTCTGCCAGACCCAATTCCTCAGTAGTCATGGTTTAAGTACAGCCCCAGGATAACCTAAAAGTATATAGATTGTGGTCAAGCAGAAACCATAGGCAATTTAATTAATGCAAAATATACCACACACCTTGGGAATAAGGCAATGTCTTGGAATAAGGGTCACTCAGTAAGAGGCTTTATAAATATTTCATCAACCCCAATACTGAAATACCTTTCTAAGTTTTCTCCCAATGTCGCCTCCTTCCCAATATTAGATCCAAAATACCCAGTTGAGGGTAGGGTATGGGTATTTGTCAGGGTGACCCCTAGTTAAAATTTGCCACTCAACAAGCAGCTAAGATTTTAGGTGGTCTTGAGCTTGATATACAAGCCAAATGTTGTCCTCCACATCTTTGCTTTTCATGTGCCCAAGTTTTCATGGTTCTGCCTCAAGAGGAGACAAGGCTTTTGAGAAGTTTGCAGGAGAGCTGTCTGCTAAAGGAGGATTTAGTATGCACAAATTTGTTTTGTTTTAATTGGGAGGCACTGAACATAAGAAGCAAGTAAGGAAAGAAAGGTTAACTATAAAAGACAATGAGTTGTTCACTGATGGGGGAAGGTTTGGAAGACGCAGGAAGGGATTAGTTAACTCTAAACAAGAGAAGTGCTGCCTGATTATCGGAAATCAAAGAAAAGAACAAAAACAGGTCTGTGGGAAAATTTAGGAAAAGAACACCTGCTGATCTGGATGCTCTTATATGACCATGGACAATATGTGCTCTTAGTATGAATATGCATTACATACTCATAGGGATTAACACATAGATTGATGGTTAACTCATTCAAACTTGGATTGACCCATTCAAACAGTGGAATGAATGAATGAACACAGATAGATATGTTCATTCATTCTTATTTTTGGCAAAAATGATATTGCAATCATTTTACTGTTTTACATAGAGCTACTCGTTAAAAAAAACATATTTAAACTTGGGCATTAACACATATACTACATACTGTGAGAATCAGGCAATGTCTTGGAAGTATGTTATTTAAAATTTCTTCCTAGTGAATGATATTGTACTAATTCTGTAACTCTTTGTGTTTTGAAATAGTTTTCTGTCCCAAACTATCTGAGCTAGGAAAACTGGCTAGATTTTAATATGACTCATAAATTAATCCATGCCCAATAAGGCAATTTAAACACATTAGAGGCTACATTGTATCGCAGAAGGAACACTGGGCTGAGTTGAGACACCTGAGTTCTTATCTAGACTCATATGACTGACTATTGATATGACTAAGTTTAATCTCTGAGCTTCATATCCCCATTTGTAAAATGAGACAACTGGATAAGATAGCCTGTAAGGTCCCTGCCTTTGTTAAAATCCACAACTCTGTGAATTATGGGCTTTCTATTTATCAGCAGTTGTAACTGACAGTTGTAATTGAAGCATCTCCAAGTAAATTGACCCCTTCTAAAAAGCTCTGAATGCTAGACACCACACCATCCTTCCAAAGAATCCTTAGTAGAGAAATCTTCATACTATGTGCTGAGTGACATACCACCTTGACTACAGATGGTTGAACCCAGAATGGCCATCCATAGGAGGTCCAATATCCACAGAAGTGGGTCTGGCATGAGAGCTACCCCAACAGGTATGTCCTCTACAGAATAGGGGCTGACCCAACCAATCAAATCTCTTCTTGGGGAATTTGAACCTAGAAACTTTCAGAGAAGATACAACTATACTTTTCCATGATAACAGTTACTTTAAAAGAACTGTGTTAACTGATTACTTAGTCATTTGACTGACATCCCCAAGAGACCATAAGACCCCATAAAGTCAAAGTCCATTCCATCTTGCCCATCATGGTATCCCTTGCATAAAAGGCACAACTTGCATAAAAGCCATTCAATAAACAAGGCATTTTGAACCACCTAAAGGCAAAGAGAGATGAACAAGGAACATAAAAAACAAAGTGTGGTGGCAGCTCAGAAAACATTCTGAAAACAATCTTGAATCACATTCTTCATAGTCCAATAAGAATGGAGTAGTAACCATCTGGATTATCATTTAGAGTTTTAGTCCAGTCCTCTTACCTCATTTATCTATTAATTTAAATAGAAAAAAAGAGATCATTTTCTGGTTAGCATGGGCTCTGCTCTGACATAGCACAAAAGTGCCACTGAAAATCAAAAGAAATTTCTGCCTTTGAAAATATTTATTCCTCCTGCAAATGCATAGTTAAATTGACACAGGATAAACAAAAACAAAAAATGAAACACATCAGAAGGTGCTTAGGAGACATTTAGTCTTTGAGAATTGGTTTTTTGAGTTAGAAAGATTTCACAGAACCATCTGACCTTTGAGGAGGGTTTGTTTACCCTGATTTCCTGAAATTACCAGGAACAATTAAAGTTTAGAGATACCCTGAATTTTTCTTTCCATTTGGAGGGGGCCTAATAGCCCATCTGCAGTTCTGGAGTCTTATGTGCACATATGGTCCATAATTTATGAAATGTGCTTATTTACATGTTTCAATTCTTACTTTCATTGTTTTGAAAAATAAATGCACCTTTATATCCTTTTTTGCCATGCAGATACATATTTTAGTTACAGGGCAATACAATAGAGAGTTATCAGACACAAAAGCTTTAGGACTGATATCTGCCTGTTTATTAACAGTATGACAAGAAGGAATTTGTAGAATTACTAGAGGATATTCTGCTATATTAGCCTCTTCTATTTGGAGGGTTAATACTCACCTGAAATAGTTGGGGGCATGCCTTCCTTCACCTGGAGAATTACTTGAACTCGGCCTTCACCTGAAACTAAACACCAAAAGCCACAACTTGCGTGTGATACAAAGATCATCTTTATATTAAAGATAGTCTCATGTGAGAAAAAAGGATTTAGGTTAAATTCTAGTTACCTAAATTTTCAAAACAAAAAAAATGAAATCCTTGTTAGTTAATCTAACAACTGATTTCCAACATTTGACTTTGATCATTTTCATTTGATTAAACTTAATTGCAATGAGGTCTCCAAGAGAATTGGCGCATAAATAATTAGAAAAAACAAAAACAGAAACAAAACCTTTAGCCATATGTGCTGTTGAGGCCAGTGGTGTCCAGCAGAGCATACACCTCAAATCCTATTTTCTCTCTATCATTTTGTAGGCTCAGCTCTTAGAATTCACCAATAGAGTTCAGATCATCCATGAAATGTATTTGCTTTACCTTTATCCAAACAAATTGTCCTTTTAATGAAGGCTTTTCCCCACCCCCATCCTCCTCCCATCTTCTAAGCCAACTGAGCACATTTAAAAGGCCTGGGGTTCATTAATTTTAAGTGTTCAATAAATTAGTGGAAATAATCAAAAGGCCTGATTCTTTCTGATAATGACAATTTGATGTCAGTATAAACCAGTAGATTAAGCTGGGAACATATGCTCCTTTGCCAAGAGAGGCTGCTATAATTAAATAGTGAATGCATCTACAAGGTGCTCTCACGCCTGATTAATTAGTAATCAGGTGCGCACACTCCATTTTTTGGTCACACCTTGTCTCTTATTGGTTAATTACCTTTCTGCCTTATCGTTTGTTGCATGAGCCACACCTCCCACCACTGGAGGGCCCCGTGTTGCTCAAGGCTGCATCCTCAAAGACTTGGTCAAACTCATACTCTCCACTTTTGTTCTCCCGGAACCCCAAACCCTTTCCTCCATCATAGATGAAATAAACAGGATCATGCTTTCTAATTATAAAACATAAGCAGCCGGGCACTGTGGCTCATGCCTGTAATCCCAGCACTTTGGGAGGCTGAGGTGGGTGGATCACTTGAGATCAGGAGTTTGAGACCAGCCTGACCAACACGGTGAAGCCCATCTTTACTAAAAATACAAAAATTAGTTGGGCATAGTGGTGCGCACCTGTAATCCCAGCTACTAGGCAAGCTGAGGCAGGAGAATTGCTTGAACCCTCTGGTGTGGAGGTTGCAGTGAGCCAAGATCACACCACTGCATTTCAGCCTGGGTGACAGAGCAAGCCTCTGTCTTGAAAAAAAACTAAAACAGGAAAAAAATAAAACATAAACTTCAGAATATTACAAAGAATATGATCCCCAAAGAGATTCGTGATGAGACCTCTTCAATTCTTCTAATCTTATTTTGGTCATCTTCTCATTTTAAAGTTTTTCTAAGGATATAAAACACTAGTTTGTGTCCTTCTCCTTACACTGCCACATCTTGAGAACAAGTGCAATGACAGGATGCTCTTGAAATGTTCTACCTTTATCACCACTTCCAAGACTTTGCTTAAATTGTTCCTTCACTCTGTTGCTTATTTCACCCATCTTTCTGCCTTAATACTAATAATAAAGCCACCAGTCAAGGTCTGTTTTTTAAATATGATCTAACTCATCCACTTCTGTTCACATTGATCTGTGCATCTTCTAAAGTTGAAAAGCACTTCTAAGTCCATCCTGTGATATTCATCCCAAACTTGTTCTCAATTTAATAAATATTTATTGAGCACCAACTGATAATTTAAGGTTACATCAATAATTAGCTTTGTCTTCAAATTTTTTGAGAGAAAGACTTTTCTCATGCATCTTATGCTATCAGATATGGCTAGAAATATAGATATTTCATTTTCATGGACCAATTTAGAAATCCTAGGTTTAATCTTGTATCTGTAGCTCTTTCTACTACATTGCACCAGTGGCTTCCGGGCTGAGTGGTGATTGACTTTCTTAAACCTCTACACATGCACAATGGTCCCCATCTCCAGGATAACCCCCTCCCAAACCAGACAAAACTAAAAAGTATGTTGAAAATCTATTGCTCACTTCATAAACACTGAGTGTGTGAATGCCAGTCAGTGAAGAGAAGTAGTTTCAGTATCAGAGCAGACAGAGAAAAGATAACAAAAGCAGGAGAAATTAGAAGTCTGATTTCCAATACCACTACCTCTACATGCCCCAAGTCCCTTTGGGGGCAGATGAGTAAGGGTCAGAGGGCTATCTCTTCCCAGTCATGGTCATGAGAGACAACAGTGAAAGGTGGGAAGAATGTAGGTGCTGAAGCCCAACAGCCTGGATCTGAGTGCTGGCTTTTCTGGTTCCTACACATGGGCCACAGACAAGTTATTTGCCATTTCTAAACCTCACTCATTTCATCTAAAAGCAGGAATAATCATACCGTCTATCTCATAGAGCTATTGGATAGAAAAGGTAGACTAATTCATGGCACATGCTTAGCACAGTGCCTGGCACATCATGAACAATAAATGTTAACTATTATCCATACTGTCATGGTGGCATGCTCATGATTCCACGTGCCAGTCAACAAGGCTCAAGAAATATGCTTTTACTTTCTACTCTTTTCACAGCTGTACCTAATCATGATGAGCTGTAGTATTACAGAGTTGTAAGCAACTAAACCAGATCTGCTAAAGTTTGTTAAGTGTGTCGACTCTATAAAGAACTGTAAATGTGAAGTGTCATTTCCAATTTGAATAAATACAAAGAGAGATGAAAATCATTTGAGAATGAAGGTATTGACTTGGGAAGAGTTTAAAAGCCTTACACAAGCTGTGATATTGTACATATGTTTTCTCAGTGCTTATGATTTCTGATTTTGTATTTGTAACATGAGAATGGTTAATCTTCCATGTTTATAAATGGAACCCCATTGTAGTTGATCCTTCCCAGATTGTAAGAAGATCTGATGCTCAAAAAGAAAAAAAAAAAGTCTTCGGGCCAATTATTGCCAATTTTTTCTGACGCATGCTATATGATCAAAACTTGAAGTAAACACAGACATCTAGGATGAAGAGGAAAATGTGCTAAGAAAATGGCTCCTGGTAAGAGAAAAGAGAGTGACTAAAGTATATGTGATACTAGGGCCTACCAGAGTAATGAGTTGTGTCTGACAAATTCTGTCCTCACTTAAGGCTCTAGGAAAGAGAAAAAATTAAGTAATTATCTCCCTAAGCAGGCCTAATTCTCTCTTAAAATTTTAGAGGGATAAATAAGCAACCATTTATTTAAAAATAAAAAACACATGGAATCTTAGTAGGTTATAGACTCCTTCCCTATTTTACTCTTTCATTCATATTCTCATTCTCGCTTTGTTGTTTTAGTTTATGCACATATTAGCACCTCTCACTCAGGCCACACTTATCTAGTGCATCAGCCACTGACTACAGAGTGAGAGAGCATAAAATAGCAACTGCAATTGGTATGTGCAAATGTCATGCAATCCCACCCTGACTCAAGACTTCTCTTTCTGTCTCTGTCTGCCCTGGACCCAAGAGCTCCAGCTCTGTCTTCCTGAGCCAGCTGTTGGCTCTCTGCATTTTCGCCTAATTCATCCACATCCTCTCTGTTACCTCCTCTGTTTCCTCCACATCTTTTCCCTGTCGTGACTCACAAATCTGCATACTCCTGCTGTTTCTCCTGTCCTGCTCAGTGAACTTGACCTCATTCCCCAGAAGCTGACCTCTTTGTCTTAGTCACAGAGAAGGCTTGCCTGTCAGTTAGTACATGGCAGCTAAAGCTTGATTTACAGAACCACACTCCTGTCTGATTTCAGCCTCAGAGACAGCCGTGGAAGGCAACTTGGCCCTCGTAAAGCATGGTCCTTTAAAGGCCTTCACAGAAATAGTATACGAAAATCCTGTTATTACCTCTGAGTCTTCTATTATCCCAGTATCATTCATTTATGAAACAGTAAATTTTTTTAAGGACAAAAGAAAAAGAACTTGATCAAGACACCAACAGATATGTCTGCCTTAGCCGAAATCCTGAAAGTTAGCTCAATTAAACCTTCTTAATTAGCTCAGAGAACAATAACAATTGTTATTCTGACTCAGAGCAATGTTTGTCATCCTTCTATGGAGGTATTTGTGATTTCCCAGACCCTGCCATGGACCTACAGAGCCCGAACCTCTCAGGAAGGTCCTGGGGATGAGCATTTCAGCTGTTTACTCACGAGGCAACCTTAAAAAACACAAATGTAAGGAACTAAACAAATTTTCTCATACTATACTCTCAAAATATTGTTTGTTCTCAGGAGCAAGTGAAGAGCGAGACCCAGCTGGAAAAGAACCTTATTTCACAATTCTTACTTTTCATCAATTATACCAAACCCTTTCAGACCACATCATATTCCCAAGATGTAAAATACACAGCGGTTATTTCAGAGGCATAAAAAGTTCCATTTTAGTATCTATAAATTGTAATGTATTTTAGAAAAAATAACTCATATTAAGCCCATGACTTCATGGATATTAATAAGAAAGGTTAGATTTTAAAAGTTAGACAGTATAGAAATTGATTTAAGAAAAATATTAAATAATCAGACAAAAGATAAAGACATGACAAAATTATGAAAATGGTACTAAAATATCTAAAGTTCAGGATTACAGTGTTAACTAAGTATTGTTTTTTCTTATAAATTGAAGGAAGAAGAGTTGGTTTATAAGGTTAGATATGTAAGCTCTGATTTAAAATAAGTAAAGATGGCATACTAGAAAAAGCATTGAACCTAGAGTCAGAAAAGCTGTTTGGATACTGGTTGTAACACCTATGACCTATGTGAATCAAGGCTAGCAACTCAGCATTGTTGAGAATTAACTCCTTAATGTGAGTGATTCCTAAAAGATGTATTTGATTCTAAGTTTCCTTCCCTTTCATTTCTCCTTTCTTTTCCTTTCCTTTCCTTTCCCTCCTTCCTTCTTTTCCTCCTTTTCTCCTTCCCTCCCTCCCTCCCTTCCTTTCATCCATCCTCCTTTCCTTCCTTCCTTCCTTTTCTCCCTCTCTTCCTTCC